TGAATAGCTGGCTTCGCTGCGGTGTGACTTGGGCCCGGGCCATGAAAAGCTGGTTTTAAGACTCACTGAAGCCACAAAGGTGACTGACAAAGACAGACAGAAGGCAGTGAAGTGCAGACTTTAAACAAGAGCAGAGAACCAGGCAAACGCATAAACTTTAAACTCAACATCTCACCATAGGTACAAATTATTCACAAGTGGATGCTTCAAAGCGGAGGAAACTGGTCTGGTGGCCTGAAGCTGCAGTGAGTGGCTGGTAGAAAAGAAAAACAGGGGAAACACAATTTTCTTCACAAAGTAGTTTTGTCAAACCATTGTATTCCAAGTCACAACAAAACTGGTTCCTGCCTTAAATTTTCTTATTTTTGGCACTGTGTTAACTTTTCTTCTTTTAATCAACCGGGTCTGGTTCCTCAGCTTATCTTTTTTTAACCACAACTGACTGGTAGAGAGTACACACTAAGACACATCAGTTGACAGCTGAGTCTATTATCCTTTTTACCTTTCAGCTTTTTTTAGTTTCTTTTGATCCTGATTCTTCCCATTATCTTTTAATAACATTTATTACTCCTTGGTTAGTAATTTATGTGTTTCTAGATTCACATTAAATTTTAACTTTGGTTAATTTCCCTGCACAGGTATTCCTGATAGCTTTGTTGGCACGAATTTTCTGTGAGAAATTTATGAACACGGGCAAGGGACGTGAAGTCTAATGTTAAAATAATACTAGACTTTAAACTGGTCCTAAAAATGTTTTTTTTGCATAAAATGAATACATTTGCCTGGACTGGAACCAGTACCAGGATATAATTTATTTAGTCAAAGAGAGAGAGAGAAGACCCACAGAGGAAACAGAAGACAGACAGACATCTTTGGCTGCCAAAATAAAATCATTTGTGACTCTCACATACCGACCTCTCTGTACAATAAGCAATAATTTTTATTCAACTTAACACTTGCTTTGAGGAACCACGAAAGAACATTGCCTTACGTGAAACCGGTTAGCTAAAAATGTCTCTTGTAAAGGGCTGTAAACTGTCTTGGATATACACTGTCGGTCAGCTAAGAAGTATGTCACAGTGACTTCTGTCTCCCTCTAGGATCCTTTAAGCAAAAAAGTGTTGAGATTTAGTCTGAAATATGTGATGCAACCTCCTGCCTAAACCTGTTACATCAATTCAGACAGCCAGTCAACTCTGTCACTGTCCCCTCCAAATAAGAGTGTCACAGTCCTGTCCACCTGTCCACAGCACAGTGACAGATAGTCCATCCGTGTACAGTATAAAGTACAAACATCAACATTCCTGATCCACATAAAGACAGCTGGAGACTGTATGAGACCTTCAGTTTGGTCCTTGAACTCCTGGAGCCCTGGGCTGCTGCTGAGGTCTGCCGGGCCGCAACAGCAGGACCACCGGGGGCATCCTCTTTACAGGATATGCCTCAATGGATGAATTAGCCACTGTAGTTCAGAGTGAAGTGCTGTAATCCAAGCGCTGACCTCCTCTCCTCTGATGGGCATCACTATGGACCATCACTGACAGGAGGGCTGATTGGTTCTGGAGTCCTGGTGAGGCGAGCGATGATGGAAAAAAAGAAAATTGACAGTCTCCAGATCACAGTCTGGGCAGAGTGTATGGCAGTTACAGAAGGGATGGCTTCTTTGTGTTTACATCATCTGTGATTATCTCTGACAAAGGGATTGGTCATTGGTCTGAAATGACATACTCTGTGAAGCAATACGTATATGCAGAATTGGTGCAGGTGTAAACGTCAAGAGTACATAGAGAGGTCACATGGCTGTAACCGCAGTGTGGGACACAAAGGAAAGGCTCGACCAAGGCAAAGGTGTCGTAGTGCTTGGGATCTGACAGTGACTATTGGGTCAGCAAACTGTGGCATCAGTGCTGTGCAGTATGTGGCTCTTTAACCCCACTGAACAGTTAATTTGAACATGGGATTTAATGTTAGTAAGAGGAGAATTCCTGGCCTGTCAACTAGGCTGAGCAGCTTCCAGTGAATTTAATATAATTAATTAAGTTTCATTGTGACAAAGCACAGCACTGCTCACAACAAAATGTGACCTCTGCATTTTACCCATCACCAAGGTGAACAGGGGGCAGCTCAAGCACCTCAGTGGCAGCTGGTGGACTAGTCTGCTTCCTTAACCACTAAGCCACCACTGCCCCATCTTGATATTTGATCAATAACATTATGATATGAATTTTGCAGTTTTCTGTCTACAATCAAATCCTAACTATTTGAAAAATGTAAGTGTTGTGAACCACACCTCAGCTTCAGCCATCATGCTGTGGGAGGGGGATTTATTTCAGTCAATATAATTTTGTAATCTAACCCCTGGCATGAAGATAAGGGGAAACAGCTAAAGAGCAGAATTAGCTTCTCCCAGGAGTGAGAATGAAAATGCAAAAGTTCAGTTTAGTTTCAACACAAACTAAAAAAAATGTCTTTGCTGCTGCACAGTTTTTCAGGATGTGACTCTAAACTTTTAATATTTAATGCTGCCGGTCACAGCGACTCATCAATTTATTATTTTGAAACAGTGTGGAGGCTCAGTCAGAGGACATTGTCCAGATCCAGAGACCACTCTCTACACCCTTGACAAAGAGCCTCAGTTTAAATTATTGATCATCGGTGGCTTAAAAATGTGCATTTTCCCCAGAACTATCCCCGCTAATCTTTACTGGCAGTTATGGTCGTGCACAATCCACCTTGCAACTTGTTTCAATCCCGAAGCTCATCTGAGAATTCCTGAAAACAAATGGAGGGCTTATTGGCTTTAACCGACTGCAGTATTTTCTGTTGGGAGCTCGTTAGGTTCTATTTAGAGCTCAGTAAATGAGTTAGAGCCATAACTGAGGCTAAACAACTTCAGGTTACACAGAGTTCAGCATGGTCGGCCTGCAGCCTGCAGTCTCTCATCAACAACCTAAGAGTCAAGGATTTCCATTTATTTGGTAATTTCACAGATTCTTTTTTTCATCCATGTCAAGAAAGGACACATGTCACGGTAGAACCACCCAACCCCAGTTAGTTACATGTGCTTTACAACCAAAAACAGATAACACGCTGGTCAACAGTTGGGTAAAAAAAAAATCTCCAGGAGATCCAGACTCAGAGTGTGCATCTTCCGAAACTCAAAAACTACAAACACTGTGCATCGTATACAGGTCTTAACTGAGCTTCATGACTTCACAATCAGAGCTGTAAGCATAATGCATAAAGCATAATGTTTTGTTTACTTGTTTAAAATTAAAGACATATACTTTTTATCTTATATCTGAAATCTAATTTAATCTAATAATCTAATCCTCATTTTAATTAATTAATTGGTGTTTCAGAATGCAAGCACTGCAGTGTGTGTGCATGCATGATCACGTTCATGTGTGTGTGACAGTGACAGACGCCTGTGCAGTGCTCCTGTAGCCCGGAAGATAAAGTATCTCTCAGAGAAGGATGTCAACTGCCGTCAAAACAAAGAGGTAATATGATGCTGTGTGTCATGGGTTACACGCTGTTTCATCAACAAACCTTTGTTTGGCTGCGGCGATGTTATGTCTGCTCCACGTTTTTTTTTAGCAACGTCTTATTTTTAGGTCAGATAATACGGTTGAGATGGAACAACTGAATTTTAACTTGATCGGTTGGGGGCTGAATAAATGACCTGTCTACGGCATATAACAGGGTGCACCCTCTGGACTGGTGGACCAGTTTATAATTGGTTAGATGTAGAACGCTGGACAAAAAAAATTTCAGTAAAACGTACAAGAATAAATCTAAACTTTCTAATATAATTTTGTCACATTTGATGTCTGCTGAAATAACAGGCGATTTGTTGAAATGCGTGAAACAGAAGAACTGACATCAGTCTTTACCATACCTTGTACCAGTGTTTGGTGGGCCGGATTAGAAAGTGGACCGTTTCTGTCACTTTTGACACATTACTAGAAGAGGAGCAGAACATTGTTAATTGATACATTTCTAAACCAGTCCAGTTGTTAGGATGAAACATTTCATAAGGACTTTATAGTAAGTTTACCTTGTTTCTTTGGTTGCTCAAAATATCGTAACATCCTTGTTCTTTTTCTCTTGACTATGAGCAGCAGTAGAAAGTACTGGGGTCTAATACATACCTTTGTTTACTGCAGTTGATCCAATCTGAGTTCCTATCCAACATGATTCCTGTCCAAAACTACAGGCTCAGACAAAACTGACAACCGAGACAAAGGCACGGTCAGATATCACTTGTAAGGACTGTAATGACATTAACAAAGAACACCAAAAGTGCTGTACTTGGTAACTGGCCCTTCTGTTTGGTGGCAATGCCACATGTGTGTCTAGACCAATATTTGAATGCTTACTTATATTGACTTTTTGGGGGGTTATTTTGTTTATCCTAGAGGTTGCTGACAGCAAGACAAAGTGATAGTCCAGAGGCCCTGGGGCTGTTGTTTTTGCCCGTGTGGCAGCTACCTTTTAATGGGTGTCCTCGCATTTACCAATGGTCACAGTATTTGTGTGTCTAAATGCCTGTGTGTGTGTGTGTGTGTGTATGTATTCAGCTAGGTGACCGCTCACACTGACCTTCTCTTCACGGCTGTAAACCCTCTGGTCCTCATTTGATTCACTAATCGTTCACCAAGACTGAACCATGGCTGAACTGTTAATGACTTTAATTAGGAAGTGGCACTGCTGACACAATGATAATGTCACTTCATCTGTGGAGGTAAGTGATGAAATCCGTCCATCTGACCAAAGTAATACAACCAAACCTAAACTAAAAACAGTTTTTCCCATAAATGACGAAGAACTTAAGCACAACCTTGTCATATAGCAGTTAAAGATGATCTATTACCATTGATTGTTTGGAAGCAGCAGCACAGAAATCTGCAGCCAGGAATATTATCAGTTCTATCTAGTCAGTCACCAGATAAATTCAGGTCGTTTCTGCCATCTCGTGGCTTCCAGTGGCAACGTCAAGCTCAATAAATCATTCGTTCTTGTCACCGTAATTTTTGATCCCTTTAAAAAATAAAAAATAAAAATAAAATTATTAAACTTTTAAAATGGTAAAATGTGTCTAGTGTTAAGATGTTCAATTTGATTGAAGTGAATATCACACAAAAAACAGTCAGAGTTAGAATGGATATTAAAAGCGTTAGAGGAAGTTACATTTCGTGAAGAACCCCAAAAATAGGACTTTTTTTATTTTTGTCAGTCGACTTTCTAAAAAACTAAACAAAAAACAACGCTACAGTCTTACGCTAAAAGTATTATAACCGAGAGATAAAAGCGAGTTTTGGGTTTGTACGCAGGTAGGAACGCAGATAAGTGGAAAAGACTGCCCCCCTACATGTATCACATAGCCAAAATTGTTTTAAAGACGAAATGTAAAAATGTTTTTAATCTTTATTTGACTTTATGTCAACAGTTTATTCTGCATTGTTAAAATAGTTCAGTTTTAAAAGGCAGTGTGGTTCAGCTAATTGCTAACCCTAATGAATCAATAGTTATAAATGAGAAATAAAAAATAAATTATTATCCAAGTTAGTAATCAATTTGAGATAGTCCTGGCACTTTAGTGAAATGCTGTCGCTATTGTAAATTCCCTCTCTTCAAATAACAGCCTAAGGCATCATATCAGACCTTTTTAAATGTTTGAGTGTTTATTTCTTGCTAAACCTTAGCTAACTGCTAAAGTGATTTAATGAGGCCCAGAAAAATCACACAGTGATTTTCAAGAAACAAAACATAGAGGACTATATGGCTTTTTGTCAATTCTGCCTCTAGTGGTGAGCAGAAAATTTTCAGATCTACAAGGGATCTTTTTAAACGAAAATTAATTATATCATGGCTGGTGCAGTTGTTCCCACAAAAGTCCTGCAGTAAACTGACAAGTATTTACATTTCCAAAGGCCAACGTATTGACTTATCTGAGCTTTTCCACTGCTCTGGGCTTTTTCTTGTTCTGTGAAACCAATGTCTTAGCATCACCTCACAGCTCCACAGTTCGGAGGTGACTCCGAGGAGAAACAGCAGCTGTCACACTCTGAGGCAGACACTCGGACTTTTCCACTGTGCTGCCGCAGCAGGACCAGTGAGGTTTCCCTGGGTGTCCTTTATGGCTGTGACCGCAGCCTTTAAATCCTCCTGCCACACAGAACGAGACAGAAGATCAGAGGAGACAGCGACAGGATTTTTACACTCAAGTCAAATCTTGATTTTGTCTGGACTATTCTTTTAATGGTGTTCTTTCTTCATTTTCATCTGGCTATAATTGGTCCCACTGTTAACGGAGACTAAATGGCTCTGCTCTGTGTACCTGGCATAGTTCCTGGGCAGCCACACCGAGCCTCCTTGGATCCTCCACTGGAGCAGAAGGAGCAGCAGTGAAAGGTTCCAGCGTGACGTTGGAACTTTCTCTTCACGTTGAGGCTAAACGGCGAGCCCTGCAGTGACAGACCAGACAGTCCAGCGATTAGGACACAAATAAAAACACCTTTTTCATTTCATATTATTATTAAAAATTATGAATGTTAAACTGACTTTCTTTCTTTTACAAAAATTATTTTAACCCAGATTATGTCGGTGGCAACAGGGGAGTATGAAAATGTCATATGTATATGATAAGAAAAAGTCAGATTTGTAAATTTAAAAGGAAAAATAAAAAGTTAAGCGCTGATAAGCAGACCATGAGTAACAGGAAAAAAAATATCCAATTTATATCAGGGTATAAACATCCACAATAAAACAGCGTAGTTTGCACCGATAATTAATGATGGCTTGACCTGATACTCCAGATCGGTATCGGTTCGATATTGGTGAAAATTTCAGGATGAAACATTGAAAAAAACTGAAAGTTATGCTCAATTTAACTTTATGCTGTGAACAGGGACACTATATGGATTTACCTAAGTCAGATAATACATTCTGTTAGCAAATACATTTCACTAGAAAATTACCTTGATGTGTTGAGCCTTGACACACACCCACACTGAGTAAGTTCCTGGTTCTCCAGGTGTGTAGGAAACACTGTAGGAACCGTTGTCATTGTCCAACACTGTTGTCTCTATAGTGCTATGGGGAAAAAACACACACACAAATTAACAATTGAAACCATAGCTTTAACCACACTCCAACAGGACCAAAAAAAAATCACATAAAGATAAATTGGTTTGGATGTATTGTGTGACCTGTTAATGGAGTAAACATTTTAATCTAATTCATAACAAGGTAGCTGTAGATTAATCACGAATACTGATTAATCAGTTCTATCAAACTCTCACCAGTTCTTCTTCTCTTTGTGGACTATGCTGACCAGAACATGTTCTCCACCTCTTGTCATCTGCTGTCCAGCTGAGTCTCTACAGACCAGGGTGAAGTGGCCCTGCTGACCCTCCCTGACCTGGTGAAGGCCTGTGATCATAGGGTGTAAAGATCAGGGGTCAAACAGATGAGACACTGAGCGAGAAAAACACATTATTCTAATGTGGTCAAAATCCAAATCCAACAAATTTGAAATTATTTATAATTACTTTAATGTTGATGGGTGATATGTGCCCGTCAGTGTGAAAATAACAAACGTGAAGTTATATATCTTACTATATTAGTCGCACCTGAGTATAAGTCGCAAAGGATGAAAAAAAAAATACTGACCTAAGTGATGTATTGGCCTCTAGTTACTTTTAGTCCAACATTTTTATACAATTTTTTGAATAATCCTTTATCTTATGTTAGCCGTTTAAAACATGTATAATAATAATAATAATCCAAGGAAATTCAAGTCATTTCAAGGATTCTAAGAACACATTTGATGCTCCCTTCAACCTTGATCAATATACAGAGCGAGGAGTGGAGGAGTGGTTGGTGCTCTTGCCTTACAGCATGAGACCACAGTTGACAGATATGATCCCCTCTCTTTTTCTATAAAACATGTTCTCCACCGGCCTGATTCAGACTGAATCCTTATTATTTTTAAATGTAAAATAGGTATAAATGTGAAAGAGAACAGAACTACAGGTGTGAAAGGTTGTCTCAATATGTGGCTTGTGTCCCAGTTGTGCGCAGCAATCGCTTAAAAACTGCTAAGATTAACTGGAGCACCCCACCCTGTGAAGATGACGAAGGATCAAGTAGGAGAAAATGAATGAATTATTGTGAAGATAGAGGGGACAAAGGTCAAAATCACAGGTGACCTTGCACACACGTCAGGATAAACACATGGAAACACGCCTGCACACATTTGTCTCTAGCCCTGTGCTAGTTTCAGCCTCTGCAGCCGTGAACAGCTGACGTCCCACTGAGAGCCACTGAACATATGGTGCCGTTGATACTTGATGTCCTCTGCTGCTGCGGACCAGGGTTTCCTCCAACAGTCCCACGTTATTATTAACACGTTCTGCTGCAGACACACGGCATAACCGCTGTTGTCGGCGCTGCCGAAGCCAAACTCCATCAAACATCACGTCAGTGATTAATGCAGCTTAGTATTTTCCTGTCAGACTCTCAGTCATTCATTAACTAATGATCTGAGGCCACGTTTTCATTGACTTTAAATCTCATTCATCTCTGTTTTGTAACCACGCACTTCCACACGGGCTAAAACCATGATTAATGGCCTCCAAAAACATAATTCCACTTCTGACCACGGAAGCAGAACTGACCATGTATATAAATGAATTAACACCTTTTTTTGGCTGCTTCAAAGACGGCAGATGAAGGGTTTCTTTTTAAGGATCCGAGGGTATCGGAAAGATTCAATAGGAAATCATAAAAAAATAGAAACTTTATTTTTAATAGGTTTTTGGCAGTTCCAGGTCGGTTTACCTGCTTAGAGGATGTGTGAATTAACTGTGTGCATCAGTATATGCTGCAAAGGTAATTATTCTCAAGATTTTAAAATGTACTTGCTCAAGGTTGTGTTGGGTTCTCATTAACTTAAAAAAAACCCTTGATTAGAAATAACTATGTCAACGCTCTACTGCACTTGTGTGTGTCTGTCTTTGTTTCCAGTATGTGATGTTCAAGTGTAAACACTCCTCTTTCTCCCACTCTGCTGCCTCCGGGCTTGTTGTGTCAAATCCACATTCCTTTCCTTCCGAAGGAATGTTTCTGATTGTCATTATAGTGGAGAGTTAACAATAATTGTCCTAAACCTGAAGGTCCCTCGGAGACTGTTTGAGACCAAAATATTTACCTTTCATAACATTCACTTGTTCCTGTTTAGTTAACTCAGTGAGTCGTTTAACTAAGTTAACATATACATAGTGTCCTACCTTCACCTTCAACAGTGCACTTGCTAAGATCCACAGTCTTAGAGTTGATGACTCCGATGACAGGGTAGCCATCTACCTCCCCCGCCGACTCTCTGGGCAAGAAGGAGATACTGCTGCCGTCATCTGGAGTCGCCGTCGCTGGGTGCGGGTTGTAGCTGCTTTCGGCCAGGGTGGTCAACCTCCTCAGAGTCACTCCTTTGGCGCTGAGAATCTCAGCGTCGGAGCCGCAGCTCATCAGCCTCTCCGCAAACTCCACGCCTCCACGGACGTCCAACAGAGCCTGTTTCAGCTGAGCTCTCTGCAGGTGGAGCTGGTTCCTGATGTTCAGGACATGTTTTAGCTGAGCAAATGTTTAAAGGATTTCTCAAGCATTTTGGTGCAGCACTTTTTCAAGGAGGACCCGGAGTGTGGTTACTGGAGCAGGTAACTCTATGAATAATTTCCTAGAAAAACATATGACATCTTCCCCTGTGAATTTAACATTGTGCGTTGCTATATACAGTACATCATACCTGCGTTGGATGTGGATCTCGTCAAGGCACCGCAGCAGAGACAGACAGTGAGCTTCTACAGCGCTGGCATAGCCTCGTGCAAACGCTCTCACCTCATTGGCTGTGGTCTCCACTCGGGCCTTCAAGGCCTCTTGTGAATCCTCTACCTGTAGAAAAAGTTTGTATTATTTTAAGCCACACCTTAACAAACAAGAAAGTGAATAGAGGATGAAATAATTTGGGCAGTGGTGGCGACAGAGTATACAAGATATAGATCATTGTTTCCCAAAGACTGGGTCGCAACCCTCAGGTGGGTCGCAAGATTTTTTTTTTGGGTCGTCTCGCATCATGTTTCCCAGGAGTTTACGAATAAGGTCTATTGACTTGGGTCGTGAAGTTTTCTGACTTTTAAAGCATGGGTCACGGTTTCACCTTCTGAGCTGACTCTTCCAGACGCTCCAGTAGGGGTCGTAGATGTCCAGACACCAGCTCTCGTATTTGGTCACCATGTTGATCAACAACATCGTTGGTGGGACGACAGTGGTGGTCACGGTGCAGTGTGGCGGCGCACTCCAGGCAGACAGGGATGTCACAGGGTTGACAGAAGAGCCGCAGCTCCTGACCTGGATGGAGAGGGCAGAGGACGGGCCGACAGATGCGTCCACGGGACTTTAGTTCCTGAAGACTTTGGACAGAGTGAGATGCTGTTCGCTTCTGACGCCTAAAAAAAAAAAGAGAAAAGAAAACCCAGGCAAACTTGAACGAGTCAGGTCAAATATTGATTCAAGGTCAGGGTCCCACCTGAAGGCCTACTGTAGACAAGACGATGCAAGTAATAAAACAAAGGAGATTTGTTAGGTCTTTACCATTTTGAGGTAAGACAAAACAACTGTAGCTATAACTGGGCAAATAAAAGATAGTCATATGCATTAGAGAAATTCTGTTGCTTGAAATTAGTGAAATTAAAAATGGTGGTCCAATAAGAAATTGATCCATGTTGCATTACTCTGGTAAAAATATTTTGAGAATTTTATGAGCAAAAAGTACAGTGTAGAATAGAACAGAATAGTCCACCTGTGTGCCTGACAGCAGAACTCGCACAGGTTGACACTGCAGACCTCACAGCGGCTCTCGGCGTCTCCTTCTCCGCAAAGGTCGCAGCCCAGCGGGCCGTCGGTCACGAGGGTCTCCAGGAAGACGTCGTCCAGTGCCAGGTGGTCGGTGCTCAGTCCAGCCGGACCTGACGGAGGAATGTCTACCTCGGCGTCACAGTCCGGACACAGTACAGTGATGGTGACGGAGGCCGAGTCTTTACCACTTCTGCCCCTTCCTGTCTCCTGCTTCTTCTCTGCCGTGCTGTCCCGGCTGGAACTCCCAGGAGAGGACACCGAGAATGGCTCCAGCCGAGCGATACAGTCCGAGCAGAAAGTGTGGAGGCAGGGTAGGATTTTAGGATCCCGGTACAAAGCCTTACACATGTTACAAACCGCCCGAGGATTCAAAAGGACTCCGTTTTGTTCACGTTTCAACGTGAATTTCGATTCTTTCAATTCACACAGAGACATTCTGGTAGTTTTAAAAGTTCTGGTTTAACAGAGAACCAAAAAAAAAATTCCCCAAACAAACGTTGACCAGTAAATTCTCTGAAAATGACACCTGCCGACGACAAAAAACAAAAACAAACAACTTTTGTTCTCCAGTGCTAAAAACGTCTTCCTCCTTTTATAAAGTTGCGAATTTTCAATTTCACATAGTTTACTAAAAAGTCAGCTCTTTCCTTTCAAGAAAACAGTTTTTGGTCCTTGTTGCGTTCAGGGTGCCTGGGAAATTTGACACCTCACCTACTACTAGACCAATAGGAACCTTGAGGCAGTATTTTAGAGGCAGTCCTTACACTTTAAAAGACCAACCGGGGACCCAGAAGGTCCCCCTCTAGTGGCAGGAATGAAAATGTGCTATCTGAAGCGTGACTCTTTCTAATGTACCACTTATAATTAATGATAATATTTTCAGAGCTGGTTCATAATATTTTTTATATTATCTTTTATCTCTTAGAAAGAAAAAAAATATAAACGTTTTTGCTAAGTTAAATCCCTCATTCCACCATTGAATAAAATTGACAAGATGTTTTTCTAACATCCAAGCCAAAACTTTTAGGCAATGCATATGTTCTAGAGTAAAGTTATTAGAAAACAACTATGGATTCACATTCGAAATGTAAGAATTTAAGAATAATTCTTAAATAGAATTTCAGGTGTATATCTTTATTGATTTCTTTCAATCCACTTGCAGTTCCAGTATAGCCCAGCGGGCTATCGTTTGAGACTGCCTGGTTCTTTATTAAACAACTTTTGCATATTCTAAATAAATTGGTGAAAAAATAAGCACCTTATTTAAGTTCTAACAAATACGACTTTAATCTTATTATTATTACTATTTCAGCATGGTTTGTTTTTTACTATTTGCACATTTAACATTTGTGGTGCTTCGAGCACAAAGCTTGTCAACACAAATTTGGCTTTGCTTATTTAAGTCCAAACCCATGCTGTTTACTTTATTTAGCGCTGTTGTCATTTTAATAGCAAACACAATCCACGTAAGTGCTGTTGGACCTGTTGCTAACTACTGAGCAATTGCCAAATTAGCTTCCTGAAGCAGTCTGAAGTCAACAGAATCTTCACTGTCAACGATTAGGTCAAATAGCAGACGCAGAAAACAAAGGGAATTATATTTAGGTAAGCTGACAATAGCACAGGCGGAGCATCACTGTAGGTGAAGTATGAAGTCACCGATACATCAGAATCTGAAAATGAAAAGGAAAGGATTTGGTCAAGACAGTAATCAGCTATTAATTCTATATTTTTTAAGCATATTTGAGGAAATACCAAAGCTGCCCGATAACTCACAATAATACAGCTAACTGACTAGCTGACTAAATATGTTTTCACTACTTTGCTGTACCGTCCAAGCCAAAGTTCGTACGTTAGCAAACATTTACAGTATTTACCAATTTGTCCGTCTGTGCAAACTTAAATTATGAGACTTTTTCCTACTTTTGCTTTGTTTTGGCCTCTGGGTTAAGTTACTAATTGGCGTGGTTTTCTTGTTTAATACATACTTTTACCTATTTGGAGTAAAGCTCTATTAAAGGTGAGAAGTTTCCATTGTGTAGACAACTCTTTATACTTTTGGCTTTACCAGTTATTTTTCAATAAGAAATACATACATTATTAACATACGTATATCACAGTTCTATAGTGAAGTATCCAAAGGTTGGATAATCCAACGTTATACCAGGTATTACAGCTACAATTACAGTATATATTGTTGTATCATTAGATCCTCAATGAAAATGATTCAGCTCCCCACCTGCCGAAGTGATGATGGACGTAGACAGCACCAGGTCATTTTCAATCTTGCAGAGGTAATTCCCACTGTTATTAATTGTCTGCAAGGTGCTGACCACACTGTAAATGTTATTTGAGGCTTCTGAGAAGTAAGTGCTCCCCTGTAGCACATCTTGATCGATGGTAAACCAGGTCACATTAGGCTTAGGGGACCATCGGTTTGCCTGGGCGATCAGGGTATTATTGACATGCGTGAACGTTGGGGCTGTGTAAGCTGAAAAAAGGTTGAAATGATAAATTAATTTAAAATTGCTTGTAGGTACAAACAAAACAGTGACATCTTCAGGTTATGTAAATCAGTGTTTCCCAAACATTTTTTCTGGGGACCCATATTTTAAAAGTCACAACCCTTCACGACCCAAGTCAATAGACATTATTGTAAACTAATGGGAAACACGATGCTAGACGACCCCCCCAAAAAATCTGCGACCCACCTGAGGGTCACGACCCAGTCTTTGGGAAACACTGATATAGATTATGTCAGAAACTAATCTAATGGGATATTTCTGTGAATCTGGCATAGAGAGATAGTAACATCTTCACCTACATCTTTAGTCCTATGTTGAGTGACTATTTTCTCCTACAATGTTAGTCCTATGTTGAGTGACTATTTTCTTCTCCTACAATAAACCTCCTGTCACAAGTCTGTGCAGCAATTACTCGTGCAAAACTGGCACCAGTATATAAGTTACAGTCTGTCACAAGTCTGTGCAGCAATTACTCATGCAAAACTGGCACCAGTAAAAATTTACACTGTAACTTGAAAGACTTGCCAGTTTACCTGCTGTCCTGAGGGAGATGCTGACCTTCCCTCCCCCTGCAGAGGAGCTGATGGTACAGGTGTATTCTCCCTCATCCGAGCGTCTCGCAGTCCTTAACCGGAGAGAAGCATTCCCATTCACCAAAGCATCAGGGAAAAGCTCCGTTCTACCTCTGAATTGTGAGTTCTGGTCCTGTAGGATAGGAGCTCCATTGCTGTACTGATAGACAACCCCACTTTCTCCCAATTTTGCCCAGGTGACCGACAGCTTGGTGACAATTGTGTTCGGCAGGTAGCAGCTGAGCACATGGTCCTGACCTAGGTTTGCTACGGGTATTCGGTCGCTGCTCAGTGTACCAAAGGAAGCGTCTGCGGAGGGAGCAGGAAGAGAAGTCATGTTTGAAAACTTGACAAAGATTGGTGGTTCCTAACCTTTTTGTGACTTCTGATGATTCCAGAACGAGAATTAGTTTTTGCTCACATTTGGTATAGTGTGATGCGAATACAGAGAATATTTTTAAAAGAATAATAATTAATTGAGAAAATATTTTTACTAGTAATGTGACCTCCTCCTCCTCCCCCAAGATTGACAAATACTGGTTTAGGTCAAATTAACGGCATTATTATTTTATATTATTTTAAAATGTTTTATTTTTTGTGGATTTGGTGTTAGGGAAGCTAAAACTACCCACATGGTCATGTGACAAACAAAAAATGTTGTCTGTGTGTCACCAGCTTCACCATCTGAACATTATAGAGAAATTGTAGCTTATAAGAGACGTGTTTGGGGCCATAGGTAGCGGTTTTAACCAATCACTGATCTGAAGATGATGACGTTGGGCTAATTACTGCCTAGAACTGTATAGACTACTGCGCGTCTGTTTAATGAATACTGAAGGTTGACAGACGTCTTGAGGGCCAGTGATCAAAATCAGAGGAATGTGTGTGTGTAAGGGCAACAGAGGATGTGATAAACACACCAGAACACCCTCTCAGGCATGGTTACTAACAAGGACTGTAGCCTTACAGGAGTTCATGGCACTTACTTGAAAAGGCAAAGATCAGGATGAGGGTGATGAAGAATGCAAATATCAGGATGAGGCAGACCATGCTGCGAAAGAGAGAGGGAAACACAAAGGCAGAGCCTGGTTAGAAAATATTCAATTTAAACTGTCGCAGCTTTAAGACACAGTCACATACCTTGGATTACAGAGTCAACGTGTCATGTGTGTCCCACACAGGTTTACTTAGGATAAACATACAAAATATTCACGATTCAAACATGTTGAAGATCTTTGAACAGCAAAAATCATACATGGGCTGAGAAAACCCGCCCCCTAACCATTTGACTTCTTTAACCCAACTGTGATCCACGTGATCCGCTGATTTCTTAGAAGAGCTTGTGGTAAATACAATTTCTTTGAACCTCAAACCGGTCGGAAAGACAGTTTAATTGTAAGCAATAACTGCCATATAACTGCGCTATAATAAAAAAAAGTATGAGTATGAGAGTATGTGGCTTTAGGAAGAGTTATTCTACATTGAATATACTACTAGGTATGTATTTCAGATTGTCATTTTCCTGACAATAATTAATATAAACCAGACATGTTAAAATGGTCAACATTAAATATATATTTGCTCATACAAACTGCAATATATGTTGCGGTATTGTGATAAAAATGAATGTAGCTGTATGACACAATACAAGTCGACACCTACTGCACAGTATATACAGCCACTACTTTAGCCATAGCCGTAGTTTAGCATCTATAATACAATAACATTATTAAGATATATTATATTAATTCATTTGAACTGATATAAACCAATAATATCAGTAGATGCAGTAACACATTTGAAGGCAGAAAGATAATGAGTCCTGTTCAACACCTAATACAAGAGCTTTAAAACATTTAATAAAACATTAAAATGATCCTAAATCTGAAAAAAAAATTAAAACCTTCAAAATTACAAATATTTAAAGAATTCGATTTTACTGCATATACTGAAGGGAACATATTCAAACCTGAAAGTCACACCTCATGAAAATGATCCTCCCCAGCAGGCTCATGGCTGCACCAGAAAAAGCGTAAAGCTAAAGGATCCTCTCTCTGCAAGTCACGCCATTTCTTCTTGAAAATACAAACTCTCAGTTAGAGCCAGGCGCTGTTTCTCACTCACTGACTGACTGACTGACTAGACATTGTGCAGTTTCGCTTGTTTTTCCTCCACTTCCCATAAGTAAACATTGCTTTATAGGCGTAGGTCTCGGTGTGTTGACTTTTTGTCTTACTAAGTCACTGGCTTTTTGAGGTGACGACAGGCTGATGATTTCACACTAGACAAAAACCTTCTGATTCAGTTGCTATAAACAAATAAAAGCATATGGTAACTGTTGAAATAAATAAGAATTCCATCGCTGTTTTGTGCCAAATCAATGATTAACCTAAGATTTCAGGCTTAAGGCATTTGACTAACAACATTATTATTATATTGCTGTGGGCAAAAGAATGTCAGGAACACTTTACTGAAGGTGGAGTAGGTTTAGTGTCACACACACAAACAGACCCAAACCCCTCCCAACCCAATAATTAATTATTAATATTATTAAGGTTTTCTTTAAAGTTATTTTCAGTAATTATTCCTTTATGTCTTATTTTTCTTTTCTGTTGTTGACTACAGATCTAGATCCATATTCAGATTCAGGTTAAGATTCAGATTTAGATCCGAAATTAGATTCAGATTTAAATTAAGGGTCAAGGTCAGAGGCAAGTTCAAGTTCAGGTTCAGGATCAAGTTTAGGATTAAATTCCGATGTAGCACAAAAAAGACAAGACAACTCACAGTTATGTTGTGTGGACCTGTAATTATCAGTGCGGAGGATGTCCTGCGGCACACAGCCCTCCTCACTGTGCGCAGGACAAATAACAAAGTTGCGCGTTTTAAGAAATTTTAAGAGTAACCTGAAAGAGTAAAAAATGTTCAAGAAAGTACAAAAATACAAATACAATCCAATGTCACTTGTTTAAATGAATACAATTCTGTGCAAAAATGGATAGGACTTCAATTCTCACTTAACACCCAAGCACTTTTTTCACAGATCCAATGTGTGGAGGCATCACAGCGCAAATCATTCCAGCTTTTTTTATACCATGTGGGATCAAGAACTGCACAGTCTTCTTCACCAAGTCTTATTATTCCTTTGCCATTATCTGGCTGGTTGTTCTGCCAGAATCTGTGGAAAATAGAAGTACACTTTCATTACAGGTGTGTGTTTCATGTTTTTCCTTTTCCTAGGTTTTGAGAACACACACATGATCACGAATCTGACCATATGAAAGGGAAACTATTGCTTTCTCTTAAGAAAATTGAACATTACCTGGAAACTGTATACAAATGTGCTAATAGTGTATTTGAACTCCTTACTCCACAGTAAGAGAACTCCCATCTACCCATATCCAGTTGTTTTCACTGTCTCTGTCTGACAAACCAATCCAGCGGGGACGCCCGGAGATTCTACGGACATATTGCTGTGACACAGGAGCAGTAAAGAGAACGTCAGTATTTTAGACTCTGCGACCAAACTCTGGTCGCCGTCCTGAAAATGAACACATGTTAATGGAACGCTGTACCTGTTCTATGGGGCTGTTTATAATCACCAGGTCAGCGCCACTGTTTCTGCAGGCGTTCCTAGCGTTATCCCATGAATCAGTTGTAGTGGAGAGATAATAACAGGACGGACCAAACATCAACCAACCACTAGGACACTTCCTCACTGAAAAACATCACATTTCAGTCACAAAAACAAAACAAAACACACATTCAAATCATTTTTTTGGTAACATGGACATACGGTCCACATAACATGGACATATGGTGCCATCATTGCAGGATCATTCCATTTTCAAAATAAAACATCTTTATTCTGTCAGTATCAGAGTCTGAATGACCTGTTGTTTTGATACAGTGTCAGATTATTTATGAATGTAAAAAGTAAAGGGGTATGACTGGATTCTTTTGGAATGACATAAATTAGTAAAACTGAAGTACACTGTGTCCCACTGCGGCCTGTTACCAAATGACCTGTGGACTGGCTCCAGTCCTTGCACCGGGGGTTGGGGACACCTGATCTAAAGAACCTAATTATCAAATCAACCAACAATAACATCTTTCTACTAGAATTACTTTTTGATCATGTTTGTTATACCGTGTTATGCTATGAGGCTGAAACTTAATGCTGAACAAACAATCTCTCAAACAATGAATGATTGAAGTATTTTGAACTCCATTTATATTCATGAAAGTGAAAGGATGCACTTGTTTAATATCACAAATGGTGCTTTTATTATAATTTCGAATCATAATTAGCTGAAATATCTAGACATTTTTAGGTGACCCAACATGGGGTCACGACCTCAAGGTTGAAAAACACTGTGTATATTAGGGGGGTCGTCTTGATTAAGGGCCCACATACAATCTAATTAGGCAGTCAAATGGGCTAGATTGAAACCCCAAGAGGGCGGGTTTTGGCCCACTGGCCGTATGTTTGACACCTCCGGTCTTTACTATCTAAGACATGGCCAAATCAACAGTTGAACATGTTTTGATCTCCATCACGACTCCTAAACCGTTCCAGGGTCATGCCTGCTTCCTGACGTCTCAGGACATAACATGAATGTCACTAACTCACGTAGCCGATATTTCCAACTACTTTCTCTAAACTAGTCATCTTTTGTGTTGGCAACAATATTATAGGCATAACAGTATTACTTTAATTTTGAAAGCAAACAAGAAAACCCAAAACCTGAAAGACTCGTCACTCTACCTGCTGTCCTGAGTTGGATGTTTACTTTTCCTGTGCCCTCAGAGGAGTTGATGCTACAGGTGTATTCTCCCTCATCAGAGCGTCTCACGTTCCTGATCTGAAGAGAAGCATTCCCCGTGACCAGAGCGTGTGGAACGAGCTCTGTTCTCCCTTTGAATTGTTGGCTCTGGTTTCCAAGACTCGGAGCTCCATTGCTATACTTGTAGACAACACCGTCTTCGCCTGCCTTCACCCATGTGACTGATAAATTGGTCACTGTTTGGTTGGGTAGCAGGTAGCAGCTCAGGACATGGACCTGGTTTTGCCATGCAACGGGCATTTGGTCGCTGCTCAACACATCGAGAAGAGTCTCTGTAGAAGAAGGCAGCAAGAACAGAACTCTTGTTAGCATATATACATGAGATTAATGGCACTGATGGATACGTTTAAACAACAGTTTGAATGCTAACATAATAATGTTTAAACCGGATTATATATTTACTCTAATGTAACAAGGTAGTAAAGGTTAACTGTATAGACCAAATATAATAGCCTTTCCAGTTCCTTTTTAATGTAAATCTTTTTTCACAGGCCAACAACAAAAAAACAAAATGTATGTGCTATAATCTAGCACTTACACCGCTAATAATACATATGTATGGGGGGATATGTAGTGGTGGGCCAACTCTGGTACACATTTGATATGATCTCGTGGGCCAAATATAATTACACTGTGGGCCAGATTTGGCCCCCGGGCCTGAGTTTGAAACATGTGGTTTACATAAAATCAAAAGATTTGTGTCACAAGCGAAGAAGGACCTGGCTCCCCTAATATGTCAAAATCAACATGCTAATGGAATCATTTAAAATTGCATTCAGACTAGCCTCACCGAACATAATCTGACTATAATTGACGAGACACAATTTCCAAATGTATTTTCAGAGACTTCGGAGACTGATTAATATTGTTGAGGACCGGAGCGACACCAAATTTCAAAAGCCACCCTCAAATTTTACAAGGTACCGTACCAACCCCCCGAACCTTCATGCAGTGAAGGTTCGGGTGGTGAGTCCCCTGGAAGGTACCAACAACCCTAACTGGGATTCAAACTTGCCCAGGAGGTGAACCCTGGGGTTCCACACCAATGACAGAGACATTGCCTCTGGGCCAAAGCGCCACTTGAGGACAATCATTAACTCCATATCACTAACTCCATAATTAATAAACATACCTATAGTAGGAACAGTGAGATAATGGACCTTCTGCAACGAATAAAAGTCAATATATTAATAATTCACCATCACCTACCGGCAGTCTGCAGATGGATGTCGACACTTCCTTCCCACTCGGATGAGCGAATACTGCAGGTGTAGTCCCCCGCGTCAGAACGTCTGACATTCCTGATCCTGAGGGAGACGTTCCCCGTCACCACAGCGTCAGGAAAAAGCTCAGTTCTCCCTTTGAAGTTTGGATTCTGTTTTCCAAGATGGGGGATTCCATTGCTGTACTGGTAAACAACTCCTTTTTCACCCGACTTTGTCCACGTGACTGACAAATCTTTTAGGGTTTTGGTGTTAACGTAGCAGCTGAGAACCTGGTCCTGGCTGAGGTTGGTGGTGGGGTTGAGGTTGCCGCTCATCACGTAAGGGTTACCTGGACAACAGAGCAGAAATAGAAGTGTGAAACCTATCGTTTTACACCAAGGCTAGGCATCAATATTAATGGGACAAAAACAATAAAGCCATCCTTTAGGCGCGGTCCACTTGACTCACTCGTAAAGGCCAAGGCGAAAGAAAGGACAATGAGGGCTGTGAATACCAGGATGAGGCAAATCATGCTGTGAACCAGAGGAGAAACACAAACAAGTGGTTTGAGGGAAAGGGGACAACAACCTCTGATTAAAAAGATCACAGTGACACGTCTCAATAACTAACAACAGAGCCAAAAGTTCAGTTAGTAGAATAACGTAAACCAAGTTTCCCGAAGATACTGATTCAAATAAGGCATTTTATTAACAATCAAACAAACCTCTCTGTGGTTAGTTAAGTGCAGCCCAAGGCTCCCGTTATCTAACCCAAACCTGATGAACTCACCTCCAGAAGATCTTTTCCAACAGGCTCATGGCTGCTCGCATGAAATTCCCTCTGCAAAAGGCGATCTTTCAGGTCCTGTTAGTGAAATGTTTTTCCATTCTGTCTGATGAGACGGATTTTGTTCATCTACCAAGACCCACTGTAAATGCTGCGTCTGTCCTGACAGACCTCCTGATAGTCTTTATCTCTACGTTGACTCCCTCACCATGAGTAAATGTTACCTTTAAGGCGTAGGCCCAGTACAGTTGACATTGTGTGTTAGCAATTGTCATTATACTGCTTACAAATAAACGAGTTTTAATTATGAACTGTACATGTACATGGGTAAATATAAACAGTAAACTGTATCAGGGCAATACTGTAGACCGCGGGAACAGACAGATAAAGAGACAGGTAGACGTATGGGATTCACATCTGTTTCATTTGTGACAAATCCAAATGATGGAATTAAAAATATGGAAAAAATATGAAGAAAAATGCAAATCTATAAGTCCAAATTCGTTGAATTTCCATCATGACTGTGAATCTTGACAGCCGTGTGTAGAACGCTTCGTGAGTTGCCGTCGAAACACCAATATTAATCAGTCTGCAGTCGTCCACATTTTCACTGAGAATGATGTTAGTCAGACTGTCGCAGCCTAGCTTCAAAGTACACTCATTGCTGACTCCAGGTAAAGTTGACCTTCTGAGGAAACGATGATTCTTACATCAGTTATACAGTGAAAAACATAGAAGCAGGTGAAGGTTGATCTTTGGTGAAAATCACACGATGTGATAAACTGCTGATTCTTTAATATTTACTACATGACGTGGCACGTTAATCCAACCACCACCTTTGTCACCTTTGTAAAGCTGTCCCCCCCCCATCTTCTAAAATATTGAAATAGCGATGTTGTTCGTTTGTGCCGTAGAAAATTTCGTTTGTGCTATTAAGGCTTTGGAGTAATTAAAAAAAAAAAGTTCTGACATGTGACGTCACCTGTGCCCCTTAACGTCCAAATCACTCCAAATTAGGCTGTATCATTTGTGCTGCCACAGTGCTGGTTTGTGCAGTTCAAATAAACGTGCCTGCTAAGACACCGGAATGATACGAGCCCAGCTACCTGTGAGCACTAGAGGGGGCCATTGAAGACCAATTTATTTCTACATTTGGTCTCTTTCTCTTTGTTCTACCCACTTACAAAAGTCAGTGTTAACTGATCTAAGGAAGGAAAGGAAATGGAAGCTCACCACTGCACACTAATCACCCACCAACAAAGTGAACAGAGTGCAGCTTTAAGCTGCCCGTGGAGCAGTGTGTGGGGCACCTTAGTGGTAACTTGGCAGCTGACCACAATGACTTTCTGAATTAAAAAAAAAAAGAAGTTAAAAGAACTTACTGTATAACAATGTTTTATAAAAAAAATGCTACAAATAACAGCATAATAGTCTAACTTGAATTATTATTATTATTTAAAAGAAAATTCAAAAACAGATTAACATGAGTAAAATGAGTTCCTTAGCATAGTTATGACTCAGCATGAAAAATTATTTCCTTCATTTCTCATTAAAAACTAAAGCTCTTTTTTCACAGATCCAATGCTGCTGTTGATCACAGTTCAAATCGTTCCAGTTTTTATCCTTATTTTCTAATACCTCGAAAGCTCCACAGTCTTCTTCACCATATTTTGAGTTTCCACCGCCATTATCTGGCTGGTTGTCCCGCCAATACCTAAAATATGGAAAATAAAAACAATAGTTTGTACTTGTGTTTTATTAAATTAGCACTGACTTCTTAACAAATGAAACTTACTTCACAGAGACAGGGCTTCCATCAACCCATTTCCAGTTTCTCTCACTGTCTCTGTCTGATAAACCCATCCAAGAGTTGTGTTTGAACATTTTGTAGAGGAATTCCTGTTGGATTAAACAGTGGGAGAGTATTTAAAAACTTATATTTAAATAAAAAAAGTTGAATGTGTAATAATATCAGTTCTAAATTTTTTAAATTAAAATAACAAGCAATAGTATTCCTATTAATAAAGTAATGATAAAATTAAATGATAAAATGATACATGATTAAATGGTAAAAAGCTCAGGTTTCCCAACAATCAACTTTAATTCACCGTACCTGTTCTTTAGGGCTGTTTATAATTACCAGGTCTGCTCCACTCTTACGGCATTCTATCCTACTATCATCCCACGAACGGGTCCAATTGGAAAACTCATAGCAAGAAGAATCAAACATCAACCATCCGGCCGGGCAGAACATCACTAAAAGACATTATAAACTACATTATGATATGAATAGGGCTCTAAAACCTTTAAATCACTGTGGGAAAACACAATTTAAAAATCAAATTTCTAGTTTTGTGGCGCTTTGGCCCAGAGGCAATGTCTCTGTCTTGGGCAAGTTCGAATCCCGGTTAGGGTGGTTGGTACATTCCAGTGACCTCACCACCCGCAGGAAGGTTTAGGGGGGTTGGTACGGTGCAATGTGATCTGGGTGGTGACTGCTGCCCTGCGACCCGGTAACGGATAAGCGGATGAAAATGGATGGATGGAATGTCTAGTTTTTAGTCTATTTGTTGACTAGAGAACAAGACAAAAAAATGATCATAAAAGGTAAAACCTAATAGGAAATAAAATTGGACAGTTACTCCAGAAACTTCTCTGATTTTACAGTTCTAAAAAGTAAAACGCTAATTAAAATAGGAACGTAAACAAAAACAACAGGTGTAAATGTCTGAACTTGTGTATGAATGGAGACTTACTTCCGGTGAATTGACTCCGAAGCCTCTGCAGCTCTTGGTTCTCCAGGTCCCTCTGTACACTCAGAGATGAGGACGTGTTCTCACAGGTCTGGAGATGTTCTGTCAGGTCATCCACTAAGGTCACAAACAGATTATCATTATGACATTTGTTGTAAATATCATCAAAAAGCTGTCAAAAAACAACCTAATAGATACTAGAAGTGGAAAACACTGTTTTAACTGGTATTACCTTAAATACAACGACGACTACCGCAATGAAACACTTTCTGTGGCACTTTACCGCCCTCGTGTGGTTACAGAGGACGATATCGTTTAGGTTTTGCATTTGACGTGTATCAAAGCCAGAACATGGGCAAAAAACAAACAAACAAACAAAAAACAATACAAACTAACTAGCCAAAAGTTAAAAGTAGCTAGGGGTTAAACATAAATTAGCCATAAAGAACAAAAGTTTGTGTAACAAATAATTGGTTTGTGTTTAGTTATTTAATAAATAAAATGTTATTTCTGTTCACATATAACACGTCTGTGATGGTAGGACGTTCGTCAACCTGTGGACTTATGGTGGACACCGAGGTAGACGAGTCCAACCAGCAAGAGAACACAGAGGACACCCAGTGAGACAACAGCCACTCCAACAGTTCTCCGGTCAGAGCTTCCAAGACCTAAGCCAATGAACGACCAGTTAATAAACAACCAAACGTTACAGAAGAACGGTATCGTATCTGAATTAATTAATTAACAAGGAATAATTTTACCTTTTTTCTCTTTTCGAGGTTCTACGTAAACTTTTCTGAAGATTTCGACATTGCCGTAGACGGGGTCTTCTTCCATCGTCAGCTCAGATGAATGTGAAGTTAACTTTGGATTTCTTTTCTTATCGAACTTTGCGGAAGTGAGTGTTTGCGGGTGCACGCAGAAAACATCACACATAAATGTTTCGGTTTTTATTGTATAATAATATGTCGGCTTAATTGCATAGTTTTATTTTTAAAAATGGTTGTAAAAATAAAAATGTACTGATATGAGAATACCTTTTACCGTAATACCTGAAGTACAAGCACATCTGACTAGGAGCACCTAATTTGTATTGCTTTAGTATCTTTTGCTAAATTATGGTATAGTTAAAACACCGTGGATGTGAGGTAGAGTGGATATTTATTTTTCTACCTCCACTTTCCAATGCACTCAAAATGTTAGGTTAAGTCTGATTGGTCAGGTGTTATGTGGTATGTATATAAATATACATGGTTTGCAACAAGATGCAGAAGTGATTCACTTCCTGTTTTCATTTATCCTTTCACGCATAGAACTTGAAGAAGCAGCATTATATTGATGACAACAGAAGGATAATGAAAATATATATTGTATTTTAAGGTTCTGTTTAATAACCTTGGATATACTTTATGTTGGGTTTTTTTTAATTTATACTGTCTCTAAAGTATCACTTTGAGTGGAAGAAAAAGCTAACAAGAATGACAGAAATGAATATATCTCAGAAACCAGAAAATGCAAAACTAAAGTCACAAGTGTGACTCATTTACACTGGACTTCAAAAGCAGAATGATAGACTTCCTGAAAATGCACAAAACAACCTGCAAATATAAAAAGTAACCAACTTCCTCTTTATCATAGTTTTCTGAAGAATAGAAAGATCCTCAGTCCACTCTGGCAACCATTTACTTATACGTCCTTCTTCCAAAAACTAGGAAAAGAAAAGAAAAGAAAATATACATGTATATAAATTACTAATAAATATATACAGATAATATTGCTCTTTAGCATAAATATAAAACAATCAGTGCTTCCTACCACCCTATCCCACGACTCTCCCGCAGAAAAAGTTCACAAAAACTCACGGTTTCTTTTACAACTTTGACGTTCGATGTCCAGCTTTTGAGACACTTCATTGATTTGAGCAGTCAGCTGTATTCTGGCCAAATCCATTCTTCCTACAGACTGAAGACACTGGCTCATGTTTGCTGTAACTGCTGCCAAATGCTGCTTGGAGTCGCTGTCTGTTGAGCAAACCACACAATGACCTAATGTTGGGATATTCATGTGCCATCATCAGGTGTGCCTTGACAATTGTCTAATTTTTAACATTTTATATTTTTTATATTAAAGTGATAGAATACAGTTGTTTAAGATTGTGTGTTTTTTAAGCATAATTTCAAATCAAATAATAATTAGTTGAAATATATTTTTATCAGTCTATTTTTTTCTACATAGACACTTCAGACGACCCTATTTGAATTCCAGGCAAACCCACATGGGGTCATGACCCCAAGGTTGAAAAACACTAGTCTATGCAATGGTAACAGGGAGAATAACTAAATACTCTTCCACTAGATGGCAACAAATGGCCATAAAAACTAAAACAAAGAGGTATTTAATTTGTTTTATTGTAGTATTTCATTGATAGGATAAACTCAACAGTTACTCAGTATTTGAGTAGTTTTTTACTCAAGTAATTATTTGGATTACTACTTTTTACTTCTATCTGAGTAATAATCAGAAGTAACAGTCTTTTTACTTAAGTACAATTTTTGGCTACTCTAGCCAGCTCTGGCCATACCTCAAAAAAAGGTTGGGGAATACTGCATTACTTCATATAATATTACTCTGCACTTCAACTTCACAATCCAATGTGTATGTTGTGTGATTTAATTTTTAAATTTGGGTTGAGGTAGAAATTTACTTCCAAAGTTGTTAAAAGCTGTGTACTTGTACTCACATTGGACCCTGAGGACAATGAGACCAGCCAGCAGGAAAACGGAGAGGAGGCCCAGAGTGATAATAGCAACTTCATAACCTCTCTTGTCAGTGCGTCGCCGGCCTGGACAGAGGAATCAGTCAACAGTCAAAAGAGATATTTCAAAAAAACAGTACGAAAGCAGACATTTATAAAAAGGTCTTTTTTTACCATTGGGTTTTGTTGACGCTCCTACATGAGCTTTGGATTTGATTGATTTTATGTTGGTGTAGACCTGGTCTTCTGCTTCCATCGTCGTCCCAGACAGTGTGACAACATCCAGTGTCTCACTCTTTTCTCACCACTTCTACTTTTCAGTTAAGTCAAACCTTTTTCGGCTGCCAACAGGTGTTGTGTGGGAAAGGTTTCCTGGTAGTTTCGACATCCACCAGAAACTAGAATATTAACCCATATCTGTAACATATAATTCCTGTATGTACACTGTTTTAACTGGTATTACCTTAAATACAACGACGACTACCGCAATGAAACACTTTCTGTGGCACTTTACCGCCCTCGTGTGGTTACAGAGGACGATATCGTTTAGGTTTTGCATTTGACGTGTATCAAAGCCAGAACATGGGCAACAAACAAACAAAAAACAATACAATATAACCAGTAAATTCTAATGTTTAGCAATAGACGAAATAAAAACTAGCCAAGAGTTAAAAGTAGCTAGGAGTTAAAAAATAAATTAGCCATAAAGAACAAAAGTTTGTGTAACAAATAATTGGTTTGTGTTTAGTTATTTAATAAATAAAATGTTATTTCTGTTCACATATAACACGTCTGTGATGGTAGGACGTTCGTCAACCTGTGGACTTATGGTGGACACCGAGGTAGACGAGTCCAACCAGCAAGAGAACACAGAGGACACCCAGTGAGACAACAGCCACTCCAACAGTTCTCCGGTCAGAGCTTCCAAGACCTAAGCCAATGAACGACCAGTTAATAAACAACCAAACGTTACAGAAGAACGGTATCGTATCTGAATTAATTAATTAATTAGGAATACATTTACCTTTTTCCTCTTTTCGAGGATTTCGGTCAATTATTTTGAAGACTTCGCAATTGTAGTAGACAATTGTAGTAATCTGAAGTTAAACTCTTTTACTTCGGGCTATTAAAAACACATCAGATGGTGACTTCCTCTTGTGCCCGATAAAGACCCACTTCCTCTGTCCACAATTCCTGTCTCTGAATCCCTTTTGCCTCCTTCACACCTTCGGTACATGGCCCACTAAGGTTCACATTTATTTTGTTCATGCCATGGGTTGCGTCACTGACAGAAAGTGCACACGTCACAGTGCTATAGGGACAGTGGTAAAGGAAGTGGACTTGGGTCGGGGTGATTGCAGGTTCGAGTCTGCTGAGTTACCATTGCGGTGCTCTGAGCATGGCACCATCCTCTCACACTGCTCACTTGGGTGATGGGTAAAAAGCATTAGTCACATTTTGTTGTGTGCAGTGGTGAATGACAAATAATTCACTTTCACCATATCTACTCCACTTTATATTCCCAAACAATGAAAACATTACGGATATGATGTGAAGATGGATGAGCCTTTACTGTGTTTTGTACAAAACAATCAGGCTGGACAGCAGTCATCAAAGCATTAGGCGTAGGAGAGGACAGCACTTTACATGGCAGGGACACATTCTACAGGAAGTTACATTCATCAGTACAACTGGACGGCAAACAGACTTCTTTGTGTGAGCGGGCATCGGAGCTAATTCCTCAACCAAAACTGGTGAAAGCCAGACCCTAGAGACGGTGACCTGTCAGTTGACACATGTACAGATTTACACTTCAGGGATTGAGTCCTACTCACTACCTTGACATCAAAGGTCAAAGGTCTCTGATGAATACACAGACGTCTATCCCATCCCAGATTTTCCCTGATTCTTCACTCATCTGTAAACTACCAACGCAAAGTTTTGTAAACAGTGATTCAAAGAAATGTGTTAATGCATTCTGTTTGGTCTGAACTGCTGCATTTCCTTCTGTCCTCTGTATTTTCAAATGTAGACAGAGGACGCTCCACCCTCTGGTCCACTGCTGTCCAGCAGAGTTCAGTGTTGGGTCCTCATTCAGGATGAACAGATGGAGATCACCAAAGGTAGCGTCAAAAAAAAAAAAAAAAGATGACCTTCAAAACTGGCTGTAATAAATAAGCATTCAATAAATTAAAAATATACAGTATCAGATATCTCCCAGCTGTAGACCAAGTGTCAATATATTTGTTTTTCACAGCTTCAGTTTCAGGAGCTGAAGTTGTCCCAGAATCCTCTGCGGCAACGTGTCCGATAAACTCGACATGTCAAACACCTCCCCAGGCCTGGTTCTGTTTGATTTTTACAATCTTAAGAAATGTTTCTGTGAAGAGAATTCCACCAGTGACCAAAATAAAACGAAAAAACAAACAAACAAACAAAAAAAACACTACAGATACAGGTATCCTGGAGGGAAATAAACAACACACCTTTTCTGTAACTGCCTAATTAGTTTGATGATGCTTTGACAGCCTAACTCAGGCATGGGCAAACTAAGGCCCGGGGGCCAGATGCGGCCCGTTTGGCTTTTTAATCATCCCCGCCAAACTTGTCCAAATTATGTTATTAACTTCTATTATCATTATACTTCTGCCTTTTCCCTGCAATACCCGCATTTTTCCAATAGATGGCGTAAAAAAGGCTTAAAGCATTTTAGCCTTTATGACTTTCAACTTCAGGTTTTCGTTTATATGAACACTCCATCGTTTTGCTCCACCTAGTGGCCTGCAAGTGGGGGGTTTACCCAGGCCTGGTCTAACTGGACAAACTGGGAAGTTGCCTCCGGCTACGATGTGCTCCCACCACCCCACCCTCTCCCAAAATATCAAAACTATAATAATTTGATAGTAATCTAAAGGTTGTTTTTGAAACCGACAGATTTAGGCACATACAAGCCACAGTACCCCACTTGACCAGCAGAGGTCGCACGGACAAATACTAAAATCACTGTGTTAAACCATTTATACTACACACCGACGTTTGGTTCAGATTTATACCACTATATTTTATATAATCTTTAAGTAGTTAGTAGTGCTTCGAATTATTGGGTCTGATGGACAGAATCAATGAGAATTGTTGAAAAGGATATTAAGGTTGAAGAAAAAAAAAGGATATGTGGAAAGAGCTGAGCAAACTAGGGCTCGTGGGCCAGATACAGCCCGCTTTGTCTTCTATTGCGGCCCACCAAACACTGGTACAACGTACGGTAAGGACTGGTGTCAATCCTTGTGTTTCATGCATTACAAGGAATTAACTGTAAGTTACGTATGTTGGTGCCACTAAATGGCAGCAGAATCTTAAGAATCTGTTTTGTAAAAAGCTAAAAATGATTTAAGATTTCAAAAAGTATTTTCTTCCTTTCCTAAAAGCAAAAGAACTTTTAAAGAACTTGATTTCAGAAGCAGCTTGTGACCCCGTGTGAAACACTCACTGTATTCTCTGTTCCCTTCAATAACAGCCTGTACTGGAAGTATCTCCTGCCAAATAATGACCTTCATATTTGTAGACAGTGGTTTTGCTTGTGAATGTTAAACTTGTTTTTTGAATTTTCGGGGCCTATTGGAAAAAATATACAATAATAATTAACATTCTAAAAAAAATCATTATTATTTATCCACTGGTGCACTGGTGGTCATGGATCGTTGACGTTTCTATGGTTCTCTTCTCTTCACACCGTGTTTCCGATGCTGCTACTCACCAGCCCTTTGATATTAGTGATGGGCCTGATGTCGTGCAGCTGTCTTCTGCGGTCAATGAACGTAGCCAGTCTTGTTGTGTCCAGAGGAGTCTTGGAATACTCCCCACCGTGGGGCCCCCCGCGGCCCACCCAGGGGTGCTGCAGACAGGAAGTGGCGCTGGGCCTTTTCCTTTGATCCTGCTGCAGCACCGAAGAAACGAAATCCTTCGCCGCTTCGCTCACGTCCTTGAAGTAGTCGTCGGGAAAGCAGAAGTCCAGGCGGCAGATGTTCACGCAGGTTTCCTCGGGCGACTCGTCCAGAAATGGAGAAACGCCGCTGAGCACGACGTAGGCCAGCACGCCCACGCTCCACACGTCGGTCGCCACGGAGACTGGTGTTCCGCGGATGAGCTCAGGCGCAGCAAACTCCGGGTTGCCCAGCAGGAGGTGGACGTAACGGCGTTGGGCAGACAGTTGGACAGCATCCCCGAGGTCGATGAGTTTGATGCATGGGGTGGCAGAGCGAAGGTCCACCATGATGTTCTCAGGCTGTTTTCAGGAGAAGGACAGTGGAGTCATCCATCCATCAATCCATCCATCTATCTACCCATCTCTGCTGTATTCTATCTATCTATCATCCATCCATCCATCCATATATCCATTAATCCATCCATCCATCTCTCATTCCATCCATCCATCCACAGAACCATCCATCTATCCATCCACCATCCATCCATCTATCTATCATCCATCCATCCAATGAACCATCCATCAAACCATCTATCTATACATCATTTCATCCATCCCTCATTCCATCAATCAATCTATCTATCTAACCACTCATCCATCCATCCATCTAACCATCCATCCATCCCTCCATCTATCTATCTAACCAACCATCCATCCATCCCTCCCTCCATCCATCCATCCATCCATCCATCTACTTTGGGTCTGGGAGGAATTACTGCCCCAGGTTCTTCTTCTCACCTTCAGATCCAGATGTGCGATCCTGGAGGTGTGAAGGTGCTGCAGAGCCTCCAGTGTCTCCCTGATAAAGAAGGCCACCTTCTCCTCCATCAGCTCATCATGGGCCACAAGGTAATCAAGCAATCGACCATCCTCCAGCCTAGAAATAATTAAAAACAATTCAACCACATTCACATAAAAGTTATATGTGCATCAAACCTGCCAGGCTGGAAAGTTGACATTTGAATTTCAAAACGTTTAGGTTTATGAACGGTCTTTAAAAAGTCTCCTGGTAAATCTTAATGATGATATTACACAGAATGAAAAACAGGAAATGAGTCATGCATGTAGATCACACCACTATAATCCAAAATAGTCAGGAAAGTAAAAGAAACCGTTTCCTCCTACTGCGACTTTAACTTAAGACTTCAGAACTGAACTGTTCTCCTCGACCTGTGCTGTTCTGTACCTGTTCTGATCACATGTGATCCACCAGTTCATTCAACCTCCCACCGACTGAGGTACAACTAATAAAAAAATGAACAGATCAACTTTTTCAATGTGAGTGTGTGACACTTACAGCTCCAGGACCAGCATGAGAGAGTTGGGGGATTCATAAGTATCCAACAGTGCCACCAGCTGGTGATTGTGCACGTTCTGAAGGATGTCCGCCTCGTGAGCCACCTGCTCCTTCTTCTGCATTTTCTTACTAACAAACTTCACGGCAACCTAGATAAAAAAATTAAAAAATACTGTAAATACATAACAACAAAGTAAAAATGTAAAACTCGAGAAGAAGAAGAAGAAGAAGATAATAACAAAATCCCAAATTTATGCCACATTGGGGAAATTTACAGTATCTTTGCAACTGACACAGGCTACCACACAGGAGGCGCCATTAGGGATATGTGGTTTCCTCCGGGAATCAAACCCAGGATGCTTTTGACGAAACAAAACATCTGAAAACACAATGATGTTACCTCCTTCTTGGTGGTCTTGTTGAGACACTTCCTCACCACTGAAAATCGACCCCTTGAATAATAACACAAAGGCACAAAGGAATAAAGGACAAATAAATAATGTCCGTGTTGATTTGGCAGACAGTCGGTGTGATGGGTTTACCTGCCGATCTCACAGATCTCGGAAAAAGTTGATTCAAAGTTTTCCTTCCACTGGATGGCTGTTCCATCAAACCCAGAGTCTGGACATAACCACAGCACAGGAGTCAAGCTTTATAAAGCAGGTGTAAAAACAACTGAAATAGGGAAAAGTGAGACACTACAGCAGCCTTAACGGATGGGTTTGAACCAGCAACCTTTCAGTTTATAGCCGCTCTCTCTCCACCTAATCAACAATAAGTTAATGTTTGAGCTTTATTAATAACTTTGTTACATAAATAAAACGTTTTTTTTTTCATTCATCACAGACTTACTGCTGTTGGGCAGGGTGATCATGTTGGAGGCCTCAGACGGCGGTCCCACCCCCCAGCGGTTGGAAGCTCGCACCCTGAACTGATAATGACCACCCGGGATCAGAGCGTCAATCTGGACACACTCCTCCCTGCTGCTGGCCACCTGTTGCCATAACAAGGAGTCTGGGGGTGAAACACCAAGAATTATTTAGCTGTCATTTAAAAAAAAACAACAACAAACAATGCACCGAGATGGGACTTGGAGGGATCCGCTCACCTTCCTGTCTGTACTCCACAGTGTAACTGCTGACAGCACAGTGAGCAGATGACGCTGGAGGAGGCCAATGGACCATCACTGCCGTGCTGCTGGCTTCCTGAGCCACCGGTCGCCCAGGGGCTGCTGGGATACCTGCGACAGGAAACGTTAAATTCTTGGAATCAGAGCGGTGGATTATATTTAATTATCGCAACAGCATTCACATCTGCTTCTACAGGCACCAGACTTTTTAGAATTCCAGGTTTTACCCTGAACTTTGATGGAGGCAGAGGAGGAGGCAGATCCGTGGTCATTTACAGCCACACAGGTGTAGATTCCTGTATCCTGGGGCAACAGGTTACAGATCTTCAACAGGATGTCCCCAGTGTCCCTGCAGAGACACACAAGATAAAAAAGAAGAGGATTCAGGGTGAAGAAAACTAAACAATTTCATGACTTTTCATGAACAGAAGCTCCTGTTACCTGATGTCTATGGTGAAGCGACTGTTGCTGGTCACTGGATTCTGGTCTGGGCCTTTCAGGGTGACCGAGGGTTTGGGTCGTCCACACACTTTGCAGCAGAGGACGACGGTCTCTCCGAACGCACACACCACGTCTGACAGGGGAATCAGGAATTCTGGAGCCACTGCACATGACACACACACACACACACACACACAAGCTATGGTTAGTCCACATTAAACCAGTTTGTTAAAATGTGGAATCTGTATTTATTTTTATTGAAAATAACCATGAATTTTTTGTCTCTCTCACCTTCCTGGATGAAGTTCGGGTTGAGAAGCTGGAAAAACAAAATAAATCGAGGTGAAGTTTTTATAATGTGATACAGAAACTCCAACAATTTCCCCAGTGAAGGACCAATAAAGTTCAGTTTAATCTAAATCAAAAGTGTTATCACGTTGCTAGATTTCAAGTAATGCTTTTTCTCTGCTGCAATGGAAAAACAAAAAAAGATTTAGTTAATGCTAACATTGTATTCATTTAGGCCTTAGTATTTAGTATGTGGGAAAAACACTGACCTCCATGCCTGTGTTCGGCTCAAGGTCGTCGTCACAGTCTGATTCGTCTGAGGTGTGAAAGTCCTGCTTGGAGAACAAGGGGAGAACCAAAAACGAACAAAGAAACAGGTGCAGTAGTGAAAGAAGAGAAAATTAAAAGGATTTAAAAATAACAGAAAAAAAGGAGAGTGGAAAAAAACATTGAGATTTTAGAGAGAAAAAGGCAGAATAAAGAAATGAAGAAACATGAGTGACTTCTCTGAAGTGTTGACCCTGGTCAGTACTCACCTCTGTTGTTTTTATAACAACACTTCAGTTAAAAATGACACTACAGTCTAAACAGATTTTTTTTTCTATTCAGTACAGCGTCTCTAGTCAAGGCTGTTCCAGCAGCTCAGTCTTACAATTTTTAATCCGCTTTGTTACAATTTGCTTTGCTTAAACTTTTCGTGAACAGTGGTTGATCAAATGTTTTTTTTTTTATTATTATCGCAAGAGTAATACATTTTCCTTAAGTTACGTTTTTGTTACCAACATTATTCAGCAGTTAAACCACAGATCCCCTCTTTGGAACATAGCACAGGTCATTTTATACATGTTACTGATGCTTGAACATTTTTTCTTTCATTAAAACTGTTCAGCATGCAGCTGGAAAAAATGCAAGATCTCCAAAGTTGGACCAAATATCAGATCATGTCAACATTACCCTAGAACACATCTCCTCCTCAAAATTAAACATTTACCTGTGTTTGTTCACTCTTTTTTTACATTTCCTCTCTCACCATTACATTACTAAATTTACAAATCTCACTTTTAAAACACGTGTTAGTTCACAATTAAACACCAATGCTAAACAAAAGAGCACACTCTGATCCAACAGTCACTAAATCACTGGGTTCTAACTCTAAACATGCAGTGAGGGAATAAAGAAAATAGTCACACCACACAAACAAATTAGACTTTATTGTTCATCCGGTGCAGTCAAGGATTTAAAAACCTAAAATGAAAAATTGCAGTGTTCTCAACCTCAAACTTAAATGACAGTTTCATTCTGATCATCTATTGTAACATATATACATGTATATATATATTTTAATATATACATATATATGCGTATACACACACACACACACACACACACATATATATATATAGACATATATATATATATATATATATACATATATATACATATACGTATAGTATTTCCTCGCACCAGGCAGGGACTCCTTCATACATTCTTCATTTGAACAAAACACACTGTTAAATAAGCAGGGTTGAGAATCACTGCAAAAAAATTATTAACAAAACAATAATAAAAACTGTGTGTGTGTGTTTGCAGGTTCACACCAACACATGCACACACACGGGTTAGGAACCAAAACTTAAAACCAATGGTAGCAGGAGCGGCTAAGTGAGGGGGGACGAGGTTTGCCGTGGCACACACATACGACATCATTAGGGTGCGCCGTCGGCCTGTTTTACTCACTTTGCCCTTTGCCGCTGCGGCGGGGGAGGGAAGAGGGGCGGGGGTTGTGGATTCTTTGGCCTTACGGAGGAGACCGTTCTCCTGAACCCTGACCCCCGCCGTGGAGGCGGCTTCTTTGGCCTCAGCGCGCTTCCTCGCACGCAGTGTGTTCCAGGACAGAGACTTCCTGTACGGTACAGGAACGACAAATGTCAAGCAGCCAATCAGAAGGGAGAGAAAGAAAGAGCTAATTGACCAGAAGCGTCTGACAGCAGAGGGAGAGTTTTTGTTAATTTTTGTCTGAATCTTTTGCCAACTATAAATAAATGTGTAACTTTTTTTTTAACGTTTGCCAGTGTGGTTGCTATTATTCTGTTGCTATTATTCTCTTAAGTTATTTTTTAACTGTAAATATTACCTGTAATTCAAAATAATTTGTAAGAAGAATTCTAGTAGTATAAATAACTAAATATCTTCTGTCTTTGGCAACATACTGTATTATGAGAGAGAGACAGAGAGAGAATGGGACGGACATTCAGGCGGCATTTTCTCAACACAACAAATAACAAGTAACAAGACACAGAAATAACCTGAATAGGTCTGTAAAACTGTTTTTCATTCAACACTAAGCACACGTCATCTTCATTAGTGTGAGAATATAAAGTGTAAAACTGATATTTATCATTAGATTGGGGCAGAACCAGGTTTCAGTGACATTGTAATCATAGATGTGTACCTTCGGTGGAGATTCAGACTGCGGAGGTTAGTAAAAACTCAAAGGAAAACGTCAACAGAAATGCGACTACAGTAACAACAAAAGCTGAAATCAAACAGGGGCAAAAGTGTAGGCAGGTATATTTGTTTGTTTCCTTTTTTCTGGTTAAAAAAATTCATAATAGTTTTTTTTTTACCTCTGAGACTGAAGGACATCATCCATAAACCATAAACCTGCAGTATTTTAACTGCAGTATATTCTACATGCACCAAACTTGGTTTTCTTTATAGACAGGACAGCATTTTTATGCTTTTTGTCTTTTCCTATTTATTGACAAAAAACATATTTAAACCCAAAGTTTTTTTACAGGGTTAAAAAACCCCAAACAAACCTGTATTTTCACCAAACATTGGAAAAATAATTGGAAAAGAGCTGCAACACACATACAATCAGTGTTTCCTCATTGATAAAAGTTGTTTTGGGCAATTTAAGCTTTTAAAAAAAGTTCTCTACATAATATTTAGTTTTTAATGCATTCTTTAGTTACCGTATAGCAATTTATTACGTAGAGTTTTCGAAGTCCAAATGCTAACAAAGACTAGATTTTTAAAAACCTTTGTCTGACTCATCCTCGGTAAAACTACTCCGCCTAGTGGTAAAATTGTGAATAGAGAAGTCAGAACCACTCACTTTCACATTTGGTTGTAGTTTATTTACAAATATTAAAAACTACAAACTGTGAATCATCTTCAACCTAAACGCACAACGGAAAAGAAACATCTTCACCTTCACGTCTCTCCTCTAACCAGTCCCAAAGGTTTATTTTACATATTTAAAATACATTTAAAATCATTATCACTACCAACAGTACAATGTTGAACCGTTGCCATTAAATGAGACAATATTGCACAGCCTGACTTCATTCATTCATATTTTTATCTTCATCTTAAATAGTGCAAAAGGGGATTTTTTTCTCTTTTTTCTTTTTCAAACAGGAATGTTCTAGAGCCTCGGTTGAAAAGAAACAAACAAAAAAAACCAAACTTTGTACAGTGACTGTCGACATTAGAATAAACAAAAATCAACACAGAGTAAGGAAATAAATCCAAGTTTGCCCTTAAAATAAAAATAATTACAAGGCAGGAAAAAATAAAGAACAAACATTAACGACAATAAACAAGGAAGATAAAAAAAAGGAAAAAAAAAAAAAATCAGAATTTTTTTCTGTATCGATTGCCACAGACAACAAATTAAATCTTCTCCATGCAGGAGAACTGGGCTGAGCCCACCTGAGGTGAGCTACTGGTAAAAGACTCAGCAACAGGTAAAAAGAAAAGAAAAAAGAAAGATTAGGGTGTTAGAACTGAAATAAGAGTCTGGTTTGAGCTCCACATGAGTTTCCAGAGTCAGCTACATTTATAAAATCCAGTTTAAACTCCTTAACGTGGGTTTTGTCAGTGTTTGTTTGTGTTTTACATCATTAAATCCAGTTTTGCTGAAGTTGCCACAGTGCCGTCGAGTGACAGTGGCTCAGAAATAACAAAAAAAAAAAGAAAAAAAAAGGTCACTGCAGCAGCCTAACGGACAGTAAGACGTTCTGTACCTTTTTTCAATAACACTCAAATGTAAGGTCCAGGGGGTTGTGTTTGAAAAGGGAGGAGGACGGGAAAGGAAAGGTGGTGAGGAATGAGGAGGTCAGAGGCAGTTAGTAACCGGGGGAAAGGTGCCGAGTAAAAAAAAAAAAAATTCCATTGGAGCCCAGTCACCAGTGCTTCTGTCTGCAGGGGGAGAACAAGTGCTGGGTGGGTGGGTGGAGGAGGAGGAGGGTCATTTCAGGAGGGATTCGGGGACTTACTTGATGTTGTGGGCGTCGGCCACAGCGGCCGAGAAGGAGGAGGTGGAGGCGGAGTCTTTTATGGACTTTTTGGCAGGGCCCAGGACGTGTCCTGGAACCCAGCCCTCGGCGGCTGGTGATAGGCTGTTGGCTGGACGGTAAACCAGGTGCATGTTCTGCTGGTTGGTGGCTAGGATCTGGACCGTCTCCCCCTGGCTGACGTTAATCTCGTTCTCCTTCAGCGCCGAATAATCATGGGTGACCAACATGGTGGAAGAGACGCCGTTACAGCCGCCATCACTGGCCTAAGGAAAGGAAAAGATGAAGGAGGAGATGGAAGCGAGGACAGAGGACGAGGATAAAGGAGGACAAGGTTAGGGTGACGTCATGTGGGTTGGACAAGACTCCTGTGGGCTGTGGGGCTGTCACAGCGAACCCTAATCTGTGGTGGAGCTGATGAGGGAGGCCGGGAGGCAGGAGCAAAAGGAGGAGGAGGGGCAAGGGGTGGAGGAGGAGGAACATCCTGCTGTCAAATGTTATGGCTCCATCATGACAGGTGATATAAATGCACACGTCATCGACATACAGACGAACTGATCTCAGATGATTAGCTTCCTGATCAGTGAATCCTCAGAAACCAGGAGGATTGAAATGTGAAGTTACAGTAGTTTTCTAATCTGATCTGAACATAAATACCCTTTGGGTAAACAAACAGAAGATAAAAATTATTTAAAGTGAGATGTTACAGCCCATTAGCGACATTTAACCACCGGTGAAAATGGTCAACGTGCTCTACTGTAAATCCCTGCCAGGCTGTAAATTAGAAAGTGAGTCGATATGGTCCAGATGACAGGAGGTGTTTAGTCAAAGTGGGTCAGACAAAAAAAAAAAAAAACAAAGTTGATGATGCGGCACCTGCAGTGGCCCAGATTTTATCCTTGGATTTCAGGGCCAGGATTTTGGAGAGATAGAAAGTGCTAACTGGCCTAGTTTTAAAGACATCCTGCTGCTGCAGTCTGAGGCTCAGTCTGACTCTGAGTCAACACTACAGTAGAGATGAAGGCATCTTCACGATCTGGTTCACTGAAGCTATTGGTTTTCGTAGCTTTAATTGGCTAGTTTAGCTTTTTTGGGGGCTAACACTGGTTAAACATTTAGCTCTTTTCTGCTACATTTACAATTAGGGATGTTTGAAAATATCAGCCGAAAAAAGTTTTGCGGATAAACGGCTGTATATTAAAGTGCAAGTCACTAGATGGCAGCATTGCAGCTCATTTAATTAATCTCATACTCATACAGTGGTTTGTACAGATAAATAAATAAATATTACAAGGCGTATATCGGTATCGATTATTATCGGAATCGGAAATGAAGTGTTTGGACAATATCAGCATATCGGATATCGGCAAAAGTTAATATCAGACATGCCTATTTACAATATATCTGTTTTCAGCCGTTCTTTTTCTATCATTCCACTAATAGCTCTTCATCATACTATCAACGAATGAGCACTAAAAAAAAAAAAAAAAAAAAAAAAAACTTTTGTAGAAAACTATCAACGAATGAGCACTAAAAAAAAAAAGCTTTTGTAGAAAACCTACCCTGGGGTCAAAACACGAAGAACCACCATTTGAAGTAGACGGCTTCATCTGACTCCTCCCTCTTTCTAGATCCTTGTCCCCGAGGCCTACGGCAGAGGACGGTCGGCTGTGAGAGGAAACACCGGGTCTGTTCCTGGACGATGAGCGGTTTCTGGTCAATGACGAGCTGCCGCTGCTTCCTCCTTTCTCCTTCTGGTACTCAATGGGAGACTGAAGAGCTGCAATCATGAAAAATTGTTGGTTAAAAAAAAAAATCTCTTTTCCACAACAACTTTTTTTCTGCTTTTCTTACCTGATAGAAAATTGCTCTGAGCGTCCAGCACTTCCTGGATGTGCTGGATCCAGACCTGCTTGATGTCCATGTTGGCAGCCTGAAGGGTCAAACGTTCAGACGAGCCGCGGCAGGACAACACAAACTTACAGGGGTCGTTGTCCACGCTCTCCTCCAGACCCAGGTAGCAGACCTGCAGAAGACCAGAGACGATTCAGGAAGTCTACTTAGTCCATATCCAGAAGCAGCAGCCTCATGGTCGACCAATGTTAACCCTTCGACCCCCATCATCTCATTTGACCTCATCCAGGTCTGACCCATATGTTGGATCTCAGGTTTATGGACACGTCTTCTGTCTTCCTGATATTCCTTTCTCTGTGACTTGGTTCTAACCCTTCTTCAGGTGTTAATAAACCCTCTTACTCTCCTTAAAGTCTCGACCCTATTTTCAGTAAAAAGCAGTACCTGTAGAAGTACGTGGAGAATCCGAGCCACATCGCTCAGCTTACCTTGATGCTCTTCTTGAACTGATATCTGGGCGTGGACGATCCTTTCCTGAGCAGCTCGCTGAAGATGACTATCTGCTCAAAGAGGAAAACTCGCCTCTCTTTGGAGCGTGACAGGACGCCGGCGTCCTGTTCTGTCACGAAGAAGGTTTCCTGCTGCAGCAGTTTACCCTGATTGGTCAGTTTACCCTGAGAAGAAACATCTCCCGTTACATCTCTGCGGCTAACACATGCTAGCGGAACGCATCTCGATTAAAACCATGAAAACCAAAAGTTTGTACTGCCGCATATATTTAAACCAAAGCCACAAACGCACCTCGTATCCCTGCAGTCGACCCAGGTTCATCATGTCGTTGCAGAGTTTGGGAACCTGAGACATTAAATCTACTGCTTTCTGTGGACGGAAAGAAGACGAATAAAGACACTGTTATACTCTGTTATATCCCAGCGTTGTGAATTGAATCCTGCATTTTTACCTCTATTTGTTCACAGTCCATTCCTGCCTTGGTGCTGAACTTCAGGAAGTCCTGGAGAGAACATTAACAAAAGTCATTACCATCACTCTGAGCTTTTAAATTGGTAAATAAGATTTTCTTCTTAAAATAAAGTTAGTTTTTTTTCCATTTAAACCAATAGAAACCAAGGTTAATAATTAAAGTTTAATAATGTTTACATCAGCACAAAGTAGAACATTACAGGAGACATAAATAATAAAGGCCTAATATTTTTAGTTGGAGATCCTTGAATGTGTGAAATATGATGAAATAATAATAATAATATGAACTATAAAACAGGAAATGATCCAGGATTGTGATCAAACTGTCACCTTGAGCAGCAGCTGGTATTTGGTGATTCTCTGTATGGGTTTGATGAGGAAGTCACTGATAGACAGTCTGGACTGAATGTCCTGCTGGATTCCCTGAGAAAAAAAAACAATTAAAAAGTATTAAAAAAAATATCACTTTGTCAGTTTATAAAATTGAAAAAACAATTCTGCCTTCAGTTACACCTCGAAAAGTATAACTTTCCCTGAAACTGGAATATTTTTATTCTTCCCATAATGCAACAACACTGCATCAATACTATGAAATTGTTTTTTATATTGTATATTTTATGTATTACTTACGTCAAAATAGGTGTCATATTCTGCAACGATGAACTCGGACTTTGGTTTGTTTTGACAGTACACCACGTACATGTGGAGTCGTCTCTCCTGTGGAAACACGGCAGTCCGTCACAGTCGGTCGGTCACGAGAAAACGGAAAACTTTTCACCATTTAATCTCAATAAACTCACGTGTTTGATGAAGAGCTCAGGAAGATGCTCGTGGTCGTCCACACACTTTTCCAGTTCTCCTACAAAGAAACTGACAAAGGAAAAAAAAAAGAAGTCATTGACGCATTTATAATCGAACAGTTCAGTCACCTGAGTGGATCACATGACTCACTCCCTGTGCCAGTCGTAGATCTGGTGAATGTTCCCAAAGACGATTTTATCCTTTCCTTTCATGTCGTCGGGAACGCCCTTCTCCTCGATCCTCTTCATGAAGCCCTGCAAGGTCACAGAATGTTACTGTGTGGCTGCGAAAAACCCACGTACAGTATTTGGGTCGGACTGAGTGTAGAGCCGATGAAGGATGAGGAGGATGACACGGCACAGATGGCTGCGGGGCCGTTTCTGTCTCACCTCCACCACCAGGCCCAGGTCTTTGACATAGTCCTTCTCCGTCTGAATCAGCTCATTCAGAACAAACCTGCGCAGGAGAAAGAGAACATTAGCCTTCTGTCAAACTCCATCTGCTGCTGCTGCTGCACGTTTACATAAAGGGATGGCACCCTGAAGGTCAGGAACGCAGGGGTAGAAACTTCAACAGTTTTAGACAACGATTTTATAAATACGATGATGTTCAGTGAAAACAGTTGTTTTGGACCTTTAATATTTAAAAAAAGACCAATAAAAAATATTATTTAACGCATGTTTGGAAGGTTCTACAGACAAAACTGTTGACGTGAGCTGCTCCACTTACACCCGTCCTCTCATGGCTTTGGCTCTCTGCTCCAGCTCTGGGTTCCGCGGTTGGACAGGAGTGGACGGTTCAGGGGGAGAGAGCGATGGGAAACTGGGGTACGTTCCTGGTTCCAGAGTCTGAAGAAAAAAAAACACACACACAGGAGAGAAGGTGAATAAATCCAAAGGAGTCAGAGGGAGGTTTAATATGAACGACACTGATGACAATGTCTTCAAATTGTATGGAAATAAATATAATGTACATCGGATTGATGGCATATCTTTTGGACAGCAGGGGGCAGTAAAAGACAACTCTAAATAAATGATAACATATAGCACTATATGCACAAGATGGCTAAAAAATTCTATAGGAGACAATAATTTAACATTTTTCTTAATTGAAAAATGTCAAACTTTCTATGCCATCAGATATTTATCCCAAATGTCTGCATTTTCCCAAAATTCAAGCCCTTTTAAAACCTTTTTTCCCCTTCTCTATTACTAAAGGCAGTGGTTCCCAATTTTGACATCACGAATTTCTGGCGACTTTAAAAACTTTTTTTAGTAGACGTCACTTGAATTTGAATCCAATTCATGAAAGTGATTATTATTAAAAACATATTTTTATCAAATTTTAAAATCAGTTACAAGTCATTTCAGGCGACCCTATTTGAAGTCCAGGCGACCACAGATGGGGTTGCAACCCCAAGGTTGAAAAACACCCCCTTAACTTATCAAGGTAGCAACTCCAAAAACCACACAACACAAAAAACAGTTTTCATGTTTCATGTTGACACACGTGCACGTCACAAACAAGCAGGCTACACGTACGCACTCACCATCTTGGTTTTAACCAGTTTTTCTATGGCGCTAACCAACTCTGCGGCGCTGGGCACCTCAGAGGACGACTGCAGAGACGTTAGCAAGGACGAGGACTGAGGGGAGGCAGCGGGAGATTTGAGAGGAGGAAAGAAAGACGGGAAAAACAAGAAGTTGTAAGGAAAAGCCAAGTGGTTAGCTTAGGAAGAAATTAGATTTAGATCCAGAAATGGATTTAACTCTCGCCCTGCAAACATAAGCCTAGATTCTGTGCAAATACTAGAAAAATGCTAAATTTAATATTTACTAAATAAAAAAACAAACAAAAACCCCAAATGCATAAATAGAAAAAACAGAAACAGTGAATCACACTTAAAAAGCACAGTGGAAATGGAAATGTTTCAGAAGTTTAAAGTCCAGAGGAGGAAACTGAGTTACGAGAAATTAAGCAAATTAAAGACACAGTAAATTTGTTCATTTGTAACAGAGTTAAAGGCATAGTCACACTTTTCACTGTGTCAAATCTGCTCCTCACCTTTTCGTCCTGAGCTGACGGATCCTTGATGATCTCCATGCGCGGAGGGAGAGGAGTGTGAGCCTCCTCATCCTGCTCCTCCTCGCCGCCGCTCTGCATCCCCGACGATGTCTTAGAGAGCAGGTTACCATCCTTACTGACTCTCTGTGGACAGAGGTGGAAATAAAAAAAGGAAATGAGATACAGATGTGATGACCAATCAAACCACAACTTAAATAAATATTGAGGGTATCTGTGGGTCAGAAGACGAACGCAGGTGTAGGACCAATAAATTGACTAGTTTTCTCAGGGAACTACAACACATAAATGGTGTCACAGAACGATTTATTTAATCACTCATTTTTCGCCTCAATCACTCTTAAAAGAAAAAAAGAAAAAAGTGGAATCTGTTTATTTCTTACGCAGCCCAACTGTTAGGACAACTATCTGTTCTGCAGGTCAGGGGCAAAGTTGGAACCATTTAAACAAGCACTCCTGCGGTGTATAATGAACCGCGTCATGCTGCGTTGCACTTGTAATGACATTTTGAGTAAAGTAAGAGCCTATTAGCCACAGTCTGCCTGCCACGTTTGGTTTTTTGATTTTGTTTTTACATGTTTTTGCTACATATTTAAGGATTCTTCCATCCTTGGAACCATCCATCCATCCATCCGATTAAAAACTAATTACATCTCTGTTTCTTTCTCCTTTGGCTTCTCTGTTTCTTGCCTCCTCTTCTGTTTTACCATCTTAACCTGTATCTCCTCTGTTTCTACATCCATGTATTCTCTGAGCTCTTCCTGACTTTTGACTTAAAACAATTCTACTACCCTGGTCACCATATCCAAGTCATCTCTCCCCTGCCTTTAGTTTAATCTCCAAACTGCGATAATCACCCTGATCTGTGTCTATATTTGTCACATATACATAAAACACGTCACCAGCCTGTGATTTCCATGAAAAGGCGTGAGATCCCAAATTCATATGACATGAGGAGTAGAGTGTGGGGTTGAGTCAGGCCCAAAAAAAACATTATGGGGAAGTAGTAAGGAGGGACAGATGGGAAGAAGAGTCCTCAGAGTTGTGGGCAGGAGATACTGTATAGAAGGATCACATGACCATGTGACCGAGTCAAACTACAACTCAGAAAAGTCTAACTTGAGCTGAGTTATGTCATAACCAAATTTGTATACAAATAAAACACCACCACACACGCAAATGTGTTTTTAATTCCCAAATGTATACGCATGGTATACTGTACGTCCCAGAAATGAGAAAATTGTCTGCTGTCAGTCCAGACTTGTATTTTTGCCTTAGAAACAAAGGTTTAAGTCAATGGCCCTAAAGTGGCAAGACGCCATTTTAGGGCCGCAAGCCACGTATTTGTAAACCACCATGCCTTTAATCCTCGTGGTCTGGTCTTGGTCAGGACATTTCCATGGCAGAACAACACGTTTTACTTTTTGTTTTTGAAATGGTTAGTTACTAACCAATGCTTTGTACATGTTTGTTTGTTTTTGAATTCTGAGGTCACATGATCACCCCAGTCCTTCGTTCTGATATTTGTTTTGGACTCTAACAAGGACATGGACTCTGCATGGGTTCGGCTTAGTTTTATTTGAATGCCATGTCCAGATTGAAATGGAACTCATTTTATTCTGACATGCATTACTGCAGGTGTATTAACCAGGGAGC